CTGAGAATTCTCCATCATCTGCTGCTTTAGATGTGACTGTGAAGTTCGTGCTGACTCCTGCAAGAACTTTGAGTAAACCTTGAAACAGAGCAAATAGATGCGAAGAGACTCCTCCTATGACCCAAAACTGCTCGTTTCTCCACCAATCATCGATTCCTACTTTGCCCCATTGCATTTCTAGTATACCCGTTACCGCAATGGACATAAACATTAGCAGGAAGAGTATACCCGCGTAGTTACTTATCTGTCAAAAGTAACAAATCAATGAAACATCATCAAAGTTTTGATCTTTCGATTTCAAGATTCCGATCTTATGATTTCAAAATGATCTACAGCTACTAATGATCATGGCTTGTTTACCTCAGGGACGATGAATTTTCCGGTGAGTAGACAAATGGCGGGAAGTGAGCAGTAGACAAGCAAAGGAAGGGATGTCCAAGGATAGACAACAGAGTTAATGTAAGAGAATCTTTCCAACCATTTTAAACCACCACCATAACCGTACCAAATAGGGCAATGCCTACTCAAGAAAATCTCGACAGAGCCAAGTGCCCAACGTAGAACTTGATGAAGACGATCCGACAAGTTAATGGGAGCAGAACCTTTGAAAGCCGCTCGCTTTGGCATACAATATACAGATCTCCATCCATGGCAATGCATCTTGAAACCCGTTAAGATATCCTCCGTGACCGAGCCATAAATCCACCCAATCTGTGTAGTATTATATCATCCAAAAGTATAATCAGCTTTCACATTAAGTACAGAGAAGATAACAGAGTAAATAGCTCCGCTTACCTCTTTTCCCCATTCGGTTTTCTCTTCGTAGCCACAGCTAATAACCTGAATGGATTCCCTCAATAAAGACGCTGGGTTCACATTGCTAGGCACTCCACCATTTAGCAAAAGAGTAGAAGCAACAAAAACCGGTGATTGACCAAATTTCTTCTCCAGTTTCAGTTGGGCTGTCTCAGAGTTATTCTCAGCATTTTTCACTGCAAATAAAAACCACATCATCAACCATAACAGCATGGCATCAACAGTTTTAAATCTACAAGCAAAAAATGTTACCTTGGATGCCTTCCTCTATGTGCTCAAGAGCATGTATCTGCTTTGAAGTCTCTCGAGGCTTCTTTCTTTTATTATCTTTGGCCTTACCTGTCTTCTTCTTTCTCATACCGCAACACAGACAGCACCATTTTGGCCAACAGTTGCAGGTTCTGCCTGGTGGTTTCTTCTTCTTTGGTGCGTCAAATCCATAAAGTGCTTGCCTTCTGAAGACACAACCTGTCCCTACATATATCGGTCCTTGTATGCCATCTAAACCTTTCATGTTGATCTGTTTATAATCATAGAGAAACCAATGAGAAGGGAGCTGTAACATAAATAGAACAACGCAAAGACAAATTCCATGGAAATCATACATCGAAGAAAACCACATTGCGATTTGAGTATCGATCGTGTCTATCAATCCCATCAAACCTCTGAGGAAACTGAACATAACAGATTTTCTTTCCGGATTGTGGGTCCATCATGAAACACATAGCTTCTCTAATTGCCTTGCTGTTGTTGATGTAATGATCACAGTCCACATTAAGAAGGTAAGGAGAATTTGAGAGAACAGCAGAGACCCGGATCTTCAAGAGAGGTTAATGAGTTTAGTTTTACGAAATTTGGGAAATCAAAAGAGAGAAAAATGAAAAAAAAATGATCCCAACCAAGGAATTCATAGCTCCAGCCTTCTTATGGTGATCAAATCCCGGTCGCTTCTCACGAGAAACATACACCAAACGAGGTAACTCATTTCCATCCATATCACAAACTCCGCTGTGTCCCAAGAAAACCTTCCATTGCAAAAAATTATTAAGCTTGTTCTTTGACATATGAGGAATCATCATAATCACATTATCATTACCTGAATCATTCCTGGATGGTCCCGGACATTGTTTCCAGGCCAAGGAGTTCCATCTTGCATAGTCCAACCATCTTCAGGAACTTTCTGTGCTACAGAAACCAATGCATTTATCTTTACTTTGAATTCCTCATAGTCTCTCTGCAACAACAGTACCACCAAAAAAATGGACAAAAAGAATCAGGCTTTAGTTCAAATCCGGATGGATCCTTTCTTTTTGTAAGGATAAAACAACAAACCTTCATGGCACGGCGTTCCATAACAAAAGCGGGAACGACTTTATGCTTCAAGTAATCCATCTTCTGTGAAAAATACCATTCAGGAGCGCGTGGCTCGATGCTGAACTTCTTACAGAAAGGAACCCATTTTCTTGCAAACTCGGCTGTGTAAGAGAGAGCTTCAAATGTAAGCATTGCAGCACCATCATCTGATACATAACATGCAACCTTCTCAACCGGATAATCAACAGCGAGAATAGACAGAACCGTATTTGCTGTAATCAGTGGAGGCTCTTTCAGTGGATCCACAGTACTAACAAAGACATCGACAGGCGCTAACTCTGATGGCTTCCCTTCCTTCTCATACCTGAGAGAAAGCCTGTCAAGATATGTTTCTCTTTCGATAGGATACCACTTCGGGAACTGATCAAGAATCCAAGACACAGCGAACCATATTTCGCATATAACAGATGTTAACCACAAGCCGAATGCATCATTTACGGGATGGAGAATCCTATAATGGAAGAACAAGCCAAGAATGGCGAGCCGACAGAAAATCAACATCCTATAAGGGTTTATTCTGCTCGAACGAATGGGTAGCTTTCGTGACAGAGGTTGTCTTCCTTCATCCATCCTGAACCACGTCAAAGAAATGTCAAGAAAATACATATACACAATTCTTTACTAACAAATATGCAGTAAAAGGTTTCAACTTACATTGGTAGCTCGGGATCATCGAGCTCGTCAACAATGAATCCATCGCCATCACCATCATTTACTCTTTCATTCTTAACGACTTGTAGCTTTTCTATTTGTTGTTTCTTCCATACTTCCATACGGTCTTTCCATGCAACACTTCCATATCCATAAACTGTAAGATCCTTCTGAGGAACCATGGGTCTTGTGTGTACTGTAACAACATGTGGGTTTCTTCATCAGGAGGCAACTTCATACAAAACGATAGCATTTTGAGATAGAGCTTATGAGTAACACATACTAGATGCAAAAGAATCTGTAAATGGCACATGATGGACTTTGTTCCCCAAACCCGTAGATGGGGGCACGATAAGAGCATGTCTATCCGAATACATATCAGAATCCTAAAACATGTATATCAAAAGAATCATCACACCGTAGGAATTTCGACATTAATGTACACAGAAAATTGATCATGAAGTCTGACCTCATCACAATACGTCAAAAGAGGAACCTCAGAGCCTGGTGATGCTGAATACAAGTGTGACACTTCATCAGTACCACGACCAGTGTTAAGACGCATATAGTAGAGCGCAGCTTCAGCAACATGTTCGGGATCCATTCCATAAAACTCATGCTCCAGATCATCAATGTCATCATCTTCTTCATCCCCTTCAACCCTTGGACTACCTACAACATAAAAATCAATCCACTTTTCTCAAAGCAAGTGAGATAAAAACACAGAGAAGAAATGTGTCTGTTGCCTTTAATACGCTTGTATCGGGCCCTGCACTGAGGACAAGCTTGGTTTCCTTCTCTTCTTTCATACTCATAGCACGGTCTACACGTAGGGAAAGCACATTCGTTGCAAGCGATAAATGGCTCACCATTATCTGTTAACTCAATCTCATCTCTACAGATTTTACAAGTTTGCCCACTCAGTTCTTCTACTGATCGTATCTGTACACATTGCCACATTCATTCATAGTAACAAAACAAGATCAATCTTATTATATCATTTAACAAAGCTCCTGATACTAAATCTTAACAAAACTTCATAAAGTTTTAAACTTTTTTCCATTAATTAACAATACTGTGTATGCAACTTCTTGGAATCCACAACAAATGACAAACGAATTTAAATACTCAACAAGCTGACAAACCGCATGGAGATGAGTCTGAAACTGACACTAACTTTTGTCTCATTGATCATATCCGACACGTATAAATCATGCAATATTTCGAGACAAAAAAGCAGGTGAAATTTCCATAAAGACTTCTGTTTTAGAAAACGCAGATTCAATCTCCAAACCCAGATCGATCCAAACAGAAGATACATTCTTGGTTTTTTCTCAAAAGAAAAAAAAAAACAAAATTGAGAAATCTTACTCTGGCAGTGTCGTCCGCGTTAATGAGAACGAATTCATTCCTGTTGTGAGACCCAGCAATGAGTCTCCCTCCAGTGTTCATGATTCACTAGTCCGATCAGATCACAGAAACAGAAAAAAGTTTCTCTTTTTACAGATTCTTCAGCTTAGAGAACATGAACGGGTCTGACCCGACCCGGATAATGGATCCAGACGGTTGCACTCCCATTACAAGAAATGCGCAGTCACACTAGATCAAAGGGAGAAGGAGAACCACTGAGTCCGAGTCTTGCCTTTTGGTATTTTTTTTGTTTTCAATAACTAAAAATAAAACCTCCGAAAAATTCCCAAATTTACAAAAGAAAAAGGGCAAAAAAGAAACAATATTTCCGGGTCAAAGAAATTGGAGACTGACAGAAGCAATGTGATTCCACAAAATACGAAAACCCTTTTTACGTTTTTGTGATAGAATCTATTAAGAAATTTGAAGAGTGACACAGAAGCAATGTGAAATTCTAGGGTTTAGAGAAAGACACACGAAACACAGAGAGAAAGAGACGATAACAACGACAAGAAACTATACGGGAAACAAAAATCTGAAGTTTGAGGATGAAAGAAAGTGAAAGCTCACTGAGAAGAAAAGATCTGAGTGGAAGCGGAGAATATGGTACAAATTCTGGAGACAAATTAGAGAAGGGCAAACAAAAAAAAAAGCTGACTTTCCCTGTATGTGTCATATAGAGAGAAGAAGCGTTAGGTGCATAAGTGGATGAAGCTAAAAGTGTTGGTAGACATTATGATGAAAGATAGTGTGGCTGCTGGGAATCGAGCCCAGGTCCCTACGGCCACAACGTGGAATACTAACCATTGTATTACAGCCACTTTGTTATACATTCAAAGTTTCTATATTTAGCGAATAACCATTGACTCTTCGCTTGTATCTTTCCGTTGAGATTTAAGTAAAATCATTAACTCTCTGCCTTCTTCCACTTCCTCCACTAAAAACCATCTTTAATCATAATTAAACCTCAAAAATCCTTTCATTATCACAGTATTATAAATAGCAGCTCTTACCGAATACTCTAAACCATCACACAATACAACACAAAATCTTTAAAAGAAAACACAATGACTTCTAACAAAAGTTTCCTCTTTGTCACCGTCACTCTTCTCCTCGTTCTCAATGTCTCCAGCAGATCACTCCCGCCCGTGGCGGATTCCACCAACATAGCGGCTAGACTTACCGGAGGAGGACTGATGCAGTGTTGGGATGCACTCTACGAGCTGAAGTCATGTACTAATGAGATCGTTCTCTTCTTTCTCAATGGTGAGACCAAACTCGGGTCCGGTTGCTGCAACGCCGTTGACGTTATTACCACTGATTGTTGGCCAGCGATGCTTACTTCTCTTGGCTTTACATCTGAGGAAACCAATGTCCTCCGTGGTTTCTGTCAATCTCCGAATTCTGGCGGTTCTTCTCCAGCTCCTTCCCCTGTCAAACTTTGATAAATGTTCCTCGCTGACGTATGAAGACATTAGTTATGGTTATAATATATAGTTTTTATTAATGGTATGATGAGAGAATGTCTGTTCACTGATTTTGAGTTTGGAATAAAAGCATTTGCGTTTGGTTTATCATTGCGTTTATACAAGGACAGAGATCCACTGAGCTGAATTAAAACCATTATCAGAACAAAATAAACCATTTTTTGTTAAGAATCAGAGCATAGTAAACAACAGAAACAACCTAAGAGAGGTAACTTGTCCAAGAAGATAGCTAATAATATCTATTTTAGAAAAGTTATCATAGTTTGTAAGTCACAAAAGATGCAAATAACAGAGAAACTAGGAGACTTGAGAATATACATTCTTGTATATTTGTATTCGAGATTGTGAAAATTTGACCATAAGTTTAAGTTCTTAAAAAGATATATCTGATCTAGATGATGGTTATAGACTGTAATTTACCACATGTTTAATGATGGATAGTGACACACATGACACATCGACAACACTATAGCATCTTATATAGATTACAACATGAAATTTTTTCTGTAATACATGTATTTGTAACATAATTGAAAAGATCCTAAGAAATATATTTATAGAAGGAGTTTAAAGAAAACATAGCATAAAGTTCAATGAGTAGTAAAAACCATATACAGTATATAGCATAAAGTTTAATGAGTTTATTACAAAAGCATTGGTTCACTTTCTGTAACACGACGTTAAACCTTCGTCTCCAATAGGAGCGCTACTGATTCAACATGCCAATATATACTAAATACGTTTCTACAGTCAAATGCTTTAACGTTTCATGATTAAGTGACTATTTACCGTCAATCCTTTCCCATTCCTCCCACTAATCCAACTTTTTAATTACTCTTAAATCACCACTAAGCTTCGAATCCATCCAAAACCACAATATAAAAACAGAACTCTCGTAACTCAATCATCGCAAAACAAAACAAAACAAAACAAAACAAAAACCCCAAAAAGAAAGAATAATGGCTTCTAACACAAGTTTCCTCTTTGCCACCATCGCTATCCTCCTCGTTCTCAACATCTCCGGAAGAACTCTCCCGGAGACGGAAGATTCCACAAACATAGCGGCAAGACTCAACGGAGGAGGACTAATGGAGTGTTGGAACGCACTTTATGAGCTCAAATCATGCACCAACGAAATCGTTCTCTTCTTCCTCAACGGTGAAACCAAACTCGGCGTCGATTGCTGTCAAGCCGTCGAAGTCATCACCACCGATTGTTGGCCTGCGATGCTAACATCTCTAGGCTTTACCTCTGATGAAACCAACGTTCTTCGTGGTTTCTGTCAATCTCCAAATTCCGGTGGTTCTTCTCCGGCGCCTTCCTCTGTGAAACTTTGATGTATGCAAACTCCAGTAATGATTTTGTTATAATATATGGTTTTTAAATGATATAATGGCATCTCCCTTTGGATTTTTCCGTGTGACTAAAACCGCATTTATAATTTATACCTGGACAAAGAACAAAAACAGTGTTGCCAAGAAACAGAGCATAGTAAGAACAGAGAAAGTTTCTATTCAAGTAACTTGTAAAACAAGCTAGTAGATTCATGTTTTTGCAAAACCCTAGAAAAGTCATAGTTTCATTGCTTCTAAACAATTAACAGAAAAAAACAGGGAACAGAACATATAGAAAGAAAAGACAAGTAACAAGTCCAACAAGAAAACGGATTCATGATTTTGTAACCATGCTCAAGAAAATCTCAGAATCTAGACGTGATCGAGACTCCATGGTCCACCTGCTCCGTTAAAATCTCAGCTGACGACTCAGGGAGTAAAGAGTTGGCCACATCGATCACGAACCGGTACCTGACATCAGATTTAGCCAAACGGTCCATCGCAGAGTTGATATCACTCATCTTTATGAGCTCAATATCCGAAACGATTTTATGCTTGGCACAGAACTCAAGCATCTCTTGTGTCTCCTTCATCCCTCCAATCTGACTTCCTCCCACCATTTTCCTTCCTAAAACAAAACACCAAAAACCCTAACAGTTACTTCCACAACACGTCAAACATAGATTCACAGCTTATAACAACGGGTTATCATCGTTTTCTTTACCGAGAACTAGAGGGAAAATTGGCAGGTCGAGTGGCTTCTCCGGTAAGCCTAAAGCCACAAGCTTTCCATTCACTTTAAGCAAACTAAACAACGGTAATAGAGCATGTTCTGCTGATACCGTATCGATAATGAAATCCATAGTTCCAACCGCTTCCTTCATCTTTTGAGAATCCGTTGTAACAAGAAACGAATCAGCACCAAGCCGATCAATTGCTTCTCTCTCTTTCTCTGATGACCTACTAATCACAGTAACTCTTAAACCAAAGGCTTTACCAATCTTAACAGCGATATGACCAAGTCCACCAAGTCCATTCACACCTAAACGTTTCCCTGATTCTTTAGTCATGCCATAATACTTCATGGGACTGTACACAGTGATTCCAGCACAGAGCAGCGGCGCGCCTGAATCGCTTGGTAAACCATCGGGAATGCTTAGGACAAAGCGGTGATCGACAACAATTACGTCGGAATAACCACCTTGGTTTCTGCTGGTTCCGTCAGAGGAACGAGAGTTGTATGTGAAAACGACTTTAGGACAATAGTTTTCTAAGTCTTGGTTACATGATTCACATGATTGGCATGAACCGATTATTACGCCTACTGCTACTCGGTCTCCTTCTTTAAACTTTGTCACATTCTTCCCAACTTTTGTTGCTATTCCAACGATTTCATGCCTAGCAAATTAACAAAAGTATAGTTGTTAGTAATCAGTAATAAATTAATAATAGCCGAACTTGTCCAATGCTCAAAACTGCTAAGCCCTAATCGTACGGAGAGGGTCAACACCTAGCCAATATAATTTTAATCCAAACCTTAGACATTTCTTATTCTATAAAGCTAATAAAATCTCCAACAAAGGAAATAAGAATATTTGGGAGCATTGATAAGAGAAATGGCAAGTAATGAGAATACCCGGGAATAATGGGGTAACGAGAGAATCCCCAATGGTTCTTGATGGTATGAAGATCAGAGTGACAAACACCACAGAACAAGATCTTCACTGTTACATCGTTCTCACCATTTTCTCTGCAATAATATGACACCAAAACATACAACACTTGTGAAAGATAATCAAAGACTAATTAAGTGTGCTCTCAAAACTCAAAAGTAAACGAAAGTTACGAAAGGAACCTTCTAGAGAAATGAAATGGAGAGAGGACGCCCGATTCGTCGTTGGCCGCCCAACCAAATGCTTTATTTTGATCTACCATATTTGTTTCTTCTAATCTTTCTCTCTTTCTCTATCTGTGAACGATTCGGTTATGCTTTATGTCTGAATTGAAAGGGTGGGGAACATGTAAGAAGGGTCTAACCCAAGTGTAAATGAATTAGTGGAATTTTAGTGGGGTAAAAATATGTCACATCATTTGAAGATAAGAATTGAAGGATTTGTGGATGTAGTTCAAAGAATTGTTGAAATTTTAAATGTTTTTATGCTGGGTGATTTCTTTTTATATTTGCACTACATATTACCATGACTAGATAAATTTATAAATATAGATAAAGACTTTACATAACCTTCTTCTCCTTTTCCATGCGCTTGATGGACACCTTCAATATCTTCTCTGCATAGAATCTTAGTAAACGGCTATAATTATACTTCGTTGTAGATCTCATGCACACTTACCTCCATTAATCTGTAAATTTGCTAATAAATCGCAATAGCTGAGACTCGAACCCCAGACCTCTTGGTGTAGAATCATTAATGAACGTTTAGTCAACCATTGGACCAAGAGGCTTCCACAGTTTATATTACATTTCTACAACACGAATATATTTATTGTAAATACAATATTAAAAAATTTAAAATATAATATGATTATGTTTAGTTTAGATACACTAAAATTGGTTCAGTTCGGTTCAATTTTGATTTTCTAATTAATGAAAGTATGAAACCATTGCTTTATAAGTAAATCTTGGTTCGGTTTTAGTGTAATATCAGATTGGTACATCTTAGCTGTTTTTGTTATATTTTTTTGGAGCCAAATTAACCCCTTTTTTAGTCAGTATTAAATAGTTAATACGCCCATATATTTTTATATTCACAAATTGTAAACTATGGTGCAAGTTTGAAATAACTTATTTCGTTACTTTTAAACTCTTTTTTCTTAAATTTCTTTGCAAACTTCATTCGAATACGAACAATAAATTTACTACAATGAAGTTTTAAATGCATATATAGAGGGACTTAAAACCCAGTTTTCTATCTATGAAACGTTTAAAATTTTTCATTCAGCTTAATTCATATCGTCATAAACTGAAATGCATTAAACGAA